TGAACTGGCAAATGAATTATTTTTCAAATCGCGTTCATATTCGGCTTTTATCAATAATGTTATTCGTTTCTCGTGTACTGTAGACTTTGCCGTTGTTTCGACATCAGGTAGATAACAATGTTTTGTATTTACATCAGCTCGAATGTTTAAACCGATTGATTCGTACGGCAGCAGGTATACACAACAATTTGTAATAGTGCCCTTCAGGAAACGGCCGTTGTCGGGTAAGTATCCGCAAAAGGCGTTTACCGTGTAAATCATTCAGAATTTATGTCCTTTATTTGCTTAACAGTTTATATTAAAGGATAGAATAAGGCGTGGCTGTGTATGGCGTTCGCCCATCTCCTTGCACTTTCCGCATCGTGTACGCGCCACAAATTAACCGCTACCATCGCTCTTACACCTCGTGTTACTCCTTTTAACCTGATTGTGTTTAATCGGTTGCGGCCTATACTGAATACTTGGCGCGNATTTATGTCCTTTATTTGCTTAACAGTTTATATTAAAGGATAGAATAAGGCGTGGCTGTGTATGGCGTTCGCCCATCTCCTTGTACTTTCCGCATCGTGTACGCGCCACAAATTAACCGCTACCATCGCGCTCTTACACCTCGTGTTACTCCTTTTAACCTGATTGTGTTTAATCGGTTGCGGCCTATACTGAATACTTGGCGCGCGGCTAAGCAACTTTACCATCGTTCGACGCTTTTTCAATCGACGCGTTTTCAGTGATACTAAGTAGGTACACCACTTTACGTCACAATTAGACACCATAAATTTGTCAGTTGACGTCTTGTAACTTTTAATAACTCGAACAGTAAAATCCTCAGATAAAGTTCCCATGATCTTCCACTGTTCTAGCCAAATATTTCAACCATTTTTCAGATTAAAATGTATTGTTGTTAGCAATTCGTGACTAACCCGATATTAAGAACTGTTTGAGACACAGATAGACAAGTGTAGTTTTTTTTTTTTTGTTTTGTCGTTTAAAAACAATAAAAAAATTGTCGCCAATAACAAGAAGATTGGATGTGAAAATAGGCGAAATAATGTGTTCACGTTGCAACGTCGCGTCCTAATCCCTTTGGGACTTTCGTGTGTGTACATTTTTTCATATACTTTTATGCGTTACCGTCGCCATTCAGTTCACTGAATATTAATAACATAAGAATCGACTTTTCCCCTATTTTACCTCGAAAATACTCAAAAAATACACTTGTGATCGGTCAAAGGTAAAATTTATACATCTGGCGCAACTTTCATGTGCTTTACTTGTAATATATATTATTCAACGGTCAAAAAATGTTATACTTATGGCCGCAGAGCAAAAAATATAGATATATTAATATCTATCTTTAATATCTTTTTTCTCTAAAAAGTTCTTAACGTGCCAATTAAATTCCAAACTACTAACTTTTTAACAATAAAAATTTTTGACGTGGAGTACAATATTATATTAAATTTGAAACCGTTGATTGTAATCTTTGTATAATAAGCTTCTTCACAATTAAACACTAATATCTGCGACAATTTCATTTACTAAAACTACCATTAACCCAAGTCAAAGCCAATTATAGATATTTCCTTAACATACTACGACAAATGATGCGTTCATGACTTATGTGGTTCAGACAAATCCAATATATGATTGAATGAAATTGCATTAGTAATAAACCTAAATATCTAAATAGTAGGAGTGAAATGCTAAGTGCTGGTACTGTTTTATCATTAGGTACGACAAAAAAACTACAAAAATCATTGTTGAATACAATGGAAGTCTCTGAAATGAGTTAAAGTAATATAAATTACCACACATATTATTTTTGTTCTTTAACGCCATCTAATAACGAATCCCATTTTGATAAAATTTCTTGAAAAAACACCACATTAATGCATGTTCCAAAAAAAAAAAAATTCTATTTAAATGCTTTATGCATTTAATAGCTCTTCTTCAGTAAAACTTTCGCATATTTTCAAGTGGAAAAAATAATCTCAGTGTTAGCCTTTTGCAAAATATTTTATCGGAACCTTTCAACTATAATTAAAATATTATATTAAGTACAATTACACAGACTTTTATTTGGGACTGCGCTCTAAAAATTCCATTTCCAAAGGCTCATTTATTACTGTTTTAACCCTTCATGTTCACTAATTGTTTGTTCCTAATTAAAAGTATAGCACAAATTAAATTTATCCACGCCGATATTCATAAACAAAGTACTCCCCTTTGCTACTGATTTACAACTTATATACTGTAATACATTCATTTACAAAACTAAGAAACTAACATTTATTAAATCCCATATTTTTCAATTACAGTTAAACAAAACTATTAAACAGGCTTTCGACTGATTAGCGCCTCTTGTTGAATTGAAACAAATTTAGTCATATACTTCATGTAGTACAGATTAATAATAAACTATTTTAACACTAAAATACATTTTAAAATAAAGCAAATGTATATTTGAATAATATCGAAGAAATATTAATTAATTAACTGTATAATATCGTATAAATTATTAACTACCCAATTATTTTAAATACTTTTGAAATACTCTTTTTAAAACGCTTCCAGTCAATTAAAATTTTTTTTTAAGATTCTATTTTCAACTTCCTGCGCTTCTCAAACAAGACATTTCACTTATGTTTATTAATAAAAATATAATTCCTTGGAAAAATATTCTTTTTATAAAAATAATATCAATTGCGTTTTTAAAATTAAGTAAAGTTTTATTATTTATTTATTTAAATGTTTATAATTGAACAAACTTGACATTAAAATCTTTGTCCTATTTAATTATGTTTGCTTGACTAAGTTAAATGATATAACATTAAATAGTAATATTAAAAGTATTGAATTAATATGCTATTTTTCTGATTATATTAACTTTTAATAAATATTATTGTTTGCGAAGCTAAAGTATGGTTGTAATTATTAATTTCTGAGCCATAAAACCAATTTTGTAATTTCATTTAAAAATAGTTGCTTTAAGCTTAACTCGGTGTAATTATTTTTCATGGTAAGAATATTTTCTTATACTAAGTCTATATATGTCTATAATAGATTAATATAAGATTAAGTTTATAGTGTCTTTGACAATTAATGTCAAGAACACTGTAAACTTTCTGTAGAATTAATTTAAAAATATTTATTTCTATTATTATTTTCATAATTTTTTTTCCACTCAAATTCTCTTGAAACACTATGAAGAGTGAGCTTTGCCAATTTGGTTTTATCACGTCATAAAATTGAAATGTTCAAAAAGTTTGAGTAAACTTTTTTTTTCTAAATTTACATAATAGTACGACCGACATAATAGTTTTTTAAATTTAGTTACATAGTTAAAATTTATATTAAAATAAAACCTAATTTTTATTTAATATGACCAATATGAAATTAGTTTTATAAAAATTAAATCAATTATTATTTAAAACAATTTTTAAGTATAAGGTTGATGTTAAATAAAGCACTCGATTTTCTTTGGTTTCTAATCATAACTGAAACTAAGAATAGAACTTAAAATAATTTATCTCTCATCCAATGGAAAAGCTATAACTCATAATTTGTGACGCTTTTGTACTGAAAACTAGTAACCAACACCACATACATTGAATACACCAAACGAACCGTGAAATTAAACAGTCGTTCTCCGCTTCTGTCTTTCTCTGCCGTATGTCTTAAAGACTTACCCGGTGTTTGTTGTTAGCCCTGCAATCGAACTTCCCGTCCGGCCTCTCTTCATAACAAGTACAGCTATGATCGCAGTATCTGTCGCTGATTTATAAGTCGTTTCGATATGACGTCGGTGTTCTACACTTTAGCCCACCCTCACCAGATTATTACTAACTGAAATGTTCTCCAATATTGTTAACCCTCAAGACATCGAATGCATTTTGACAAAAAAAAAGTATGTAATTAAATAACAAAAGTCGACAAGACGTATGAAAGTAATAGCAGTCCTTGGAGTGGTTAAATCGATCTTCGTTTATAGCTGGTGACGACAACGATAACCCCATGGGAGAGGAGAGAGAGACGCAAAATAAAAATAAATTATTCGGTTGGAAACAAGATATTCTCTTTGAAAATGCATAAAACGCGTTGGGCGTATTTTTTCAATACAAACACAATGTCTAGATAAGTCATGGGACGCGATCATGTGTAAGTATATACGAGAACATTAAATAGCCCTTGGAGAATTTTTTTCAAAAATGAGCGCAATATTATGTACCACTGTATGCAAGTGCTGAAACATTTAGCAAATAATAAACGAAGCACATATTATATAAACACTGGTTTGTCCGAAATAAAAAATTTACTGTCACATTATTATTGTGGAAATATTCTTTCAACTTCATGATACCATTTGATTCATTAAAAGTAACTGATGATAGTAAAATTATTACTATGTAATATCTTCTATGTAGAAGTATTAAACATTTTCTATGCGCTATTGAATTATTTTTAGTGTAATTTCAAACACTTACACATCACTTGTAATTTAAATATTATTAATTAAATTTTTATAAACAAAAAATACATTATTCAAATAAAATGGTGTTTTATGATTAAAAGCGTTGATACCAGAAGTTTGTTATCCAATTTCTCAGTTTAATTTCAAACATACTGTTGTATATTCTAATATCATCCACTTTGGAAGACGAGCATTCCAATTATTATTATTACTAGTTTGACTCGGGTCGTGTTCCTTTGTATTCTATACTGGTAACTGTTAATCACATACATTTGAGCCAAACATAACTCCAAAGTTTATGTTCCACACAAATCTTCCTTTCCTCGAGTCAACATACTTTGAGTCTGCTTTGGGAGTTAGTGACAAACTCGTTCTACCGTTTGACAGTTTCTGTGACGTGAGGCCATAAAGTTTTAGATAGTCTAAGTAATGGCAGTCTATAGTCTATTACATCACTTATAATTTTAGATTATGTTCCTTCTATTCACAAGTGTTCATTAATTAATAAAATATATTGGATTTGTTACAGGGATCACGTATACAGACTGAATCTGAGTAACATCAGTCACTCAAATTGCAAGGTGAGTACATACAGCTAATATTCTAGTAATACATATGTTTTTAATTTATGAGAATTTTTTTTATAAAAATACTGCAACTTATAAAAGTAATTTCTTAAGATTCGTTAAATATCATGTATAAAAATATGATTCGATAATTCTATTAGTGAAATTACAAAGTCTATTTTATGTGTAAAAAAAATAATATTAATTTAAAATGATTAATTATTTTTTTTTTAAATAAGCAGTTTAATTCACAGTAAAATCATGAAAATGATGATAGGGTTTATTCTTCTAATTTGCGAATAATTTTAAATTATTTTATCTGCTAAGTAAAAGTATAGTATTTCAATTATTTATTGTCATCCATTTATAATTATTACCTAAAAATCCTTCATATAGTCATTTCTTCTAGTAAAATAATACATTCAAGACATAAACTACAAACATGGCACAACTGTTTTTAAAAATGACATAACTATTTTACATCATTTTACACGATAATTGACACATGCGATGTGTGATACATAAATTAAAAAATTTAAGAGATTATGTACAGTGTGCAAAATGTAGTTTTAATATCAGTTTTTGTTTTGAATTCCCTTTTCCTCTTAATTTTAAAGGGAATTGTTGCAGGAAATTATTTATTTACCTGTGGGGGTTTTTCAAAGAGTTATTACGGCTAATAACTTTTCAGTAAAAAAATTCTTGACAAGTAAAAAGGGTAAGGTTAAGCTGAAGAGCAATAAGGGGAATCTTTGAGAGGGTAGGCAGTGGATTGTGAATGGCGGCGGACGCTTTGTTACTAACTTTAAGTTCGAAGAACATGCAAAATTAACGGCGCTCTTCTCATTTACGCGCGGAAAGCAATTGTGGCAAATTAAAATCTTCAAAATTCTCGTTTCAGCAATACATCAACGGTACGACCTAATTGCATTCCTGACCCTGTGAGCCTTTGACCGCATATAATTGTTAGACATAAATCTCTAATGCTGTTTTAGCTTGCTTCATGCGGAATGGTTCAATAACGGGGGAAAACAAAATTTTTTTAGAATTTGCACTAGCTCTTGAAGGGTCGGAGGTCATAAATTCCGAACGCCATATCGTGATGTATTGCTATAATTAAATAGTGTATAATACAGCAGCTGTAATGTAACGATTATATAATCTTATTTTCTTTGTATTGTTCAATACTCTGCACTATTTTTTTCTGTTGAATTTCTATTCCATAAAGTCGCAGTGAGATAATTTCGAAATTTTATAACAGCTTTTATCGATTTAAATGATATTCGCATGAAAATTTCCAAACTTTGCCGGCTTCTACTCACTTTGACGGCCAAGTCACCTACTGTTTAGATAATTGGTAATTAAAATATAAACGTTAGTAGAAGCGATAAACGCATATACCGCCAATACTTTAATTCTTTGACAGGTCCCACATTATATTAAACAATATTTTATATGGCCAACCCTATTTTGAATTATATTGTGTGGTCATTGGTTTACATAATGGTATGTCTATGTGGTCGGTAGGATGTTACCGAAAATCCATAAAACGGCCAATACGGTCGGTCTTAAACATTTAAACCTTCACGTTTTGCTCCTCCTGTCATGATTCAGTCAAGGGGAGTTAAAGGGTTTAGGTTATGGGTGATATACGTAACGGCCTGGTCACCACATTGTGTGCCCACTTCTATATTTATATGTATAAATTTATTGTATGGTTAATTCATATGGGAACATAAAATGTTATACCCACTAAACTTAAAATAGGCCTTATGGAAATTGGAGACCCGCTATTATTATGTAATATTTAAAATTTATCAAAATAATTTGATTTTTCATTATAGTTATGTCTAATAACTATATCAAAATTCATTTTTAAACAATTATTTCAAGTAAATATTTAACACGGACTAAAATATGTACTGTATACTGCATAGTATATAATTTAATAATAACTAATAAAATATCATTAAAAACCACGATGGAACAAACTCGACATAAAAAAGCAAAAAAAAAAAAAAATTGATCTTAAAAAATGATAAACATTTAATAAAGTGAACATATTTTTAATGATAATTAAATAACCGTTTTAAAACCTTATTCTTAAGGTATTCGTATTCATTTGTATTCAAACGATGCATATTCCAAATAATCAACAGAATTGACGTTTAAATAGAATATTTTGTATTCCAAGAGACTGCGATGCGAATTGGCCGATTTTCATAACAAAGTTACTACATTAGAAAATTATAATATACGAGACTCGTAAGGCGTCAGAAACGCTTTGGGCTAAACTTAATCCATGTCGCAGGCACACACTCATTTACACGCATTTAATCGTATAACAGAAGTTTTTATCAAGTTGTACGTTTTGCTCGGAAAATGACGAACACCCTAAGCCGCCCACGCCACCTACCCTCTTTTTCGCCCAAGCTACGCTTCATCAATTACGCGAATAACCCCAAAAATCATATTATGCAAACTCTGACTCTGCCAAAATATTGTTTCGCGCTTCTAGCAAAGTTCAACGCGAAACGATCCTAATAACTTTATTTTAATGAATAAATTCACCCATGACTGTTAAACTACTAGGAAAACTCATCATGCGTGCACCTACCTCGCTTGTTTAGCATCATTGGAGCTTTAATAATTATGCTCTAAGTTAACCTTAATAACCTGATTGCAAGACCCTTTCGACATACTTAAGTATTAGTTTAATTAAATCTATTCCTAAGTTTGTCAAATAAAAATCCAACGATGTATTTTATAGGTTCATTCTTTAACATAGATTAATTGGAGGAGCATAATTATTTACCATTAAAACATCACGTGCGCGAATATGAATTTAATCAACATTAGAAACAAAGTACAAGCCTAGACGTGTATGATGCCGAGATAAAGTCGTCTTCTTGCTACAAAATACTCATATTCGCGTGATTTTAAGCTCGAGAGTGTCCACAGAGCGTTCATTAGTAACGCCCGGAACAATTTATTTTAATGAGACACTCAAGTAATTCAATGTAAAACTCTTTGGTTTACTGTCAACCATGTAGTGTTACTACATTGTGATAGAAGAGATATGTGTGAACAAAGGATAATTCATTTCCTGTTCAACTACCAAAGTCTTTTTGATTTCAGTAGTATAAATGTTGGCCGTTCTTAAAATTTTTTTTAAGCCGATCATTTTTCTTAAATCCATAAGAATGTTAAGTTGGCTAATGATTGTATTTCTCAAGATAATTAATACCTTTAACTTGGTATATATTTTTCTCAAGTAATGTATTACGTAAATTAGATAAAAACAAAGTATTAAAAATGTTTTCTACATAATTTTATTTCTAATAAAATTTAAGATTCAGTATTTTTTTTATTTTTAATTAACTATATAAGTATAATGTATGCCAGTTATGAAAATGATAAATTAAATGTACAAGCGAATTTCATACATGTTGATGTAAATATTGTCAAATAATAATAATGATAATGGTACTAAATCGTGACGAATATTGAGTAGTTACAAAAAATAAAAACCACGAAAAGATTATTGTCGTTATTTTATTAACTTCAGTGAATAATTAAACTACTTATTGTAATCCATCATAGATAAACTTTATCGCAATGTTTTTATAGAAAAATTAGTATCAAAAAGATTATAAAAAGTGAATATAATATTATAGAATCTAATACCGATAGTACGGATAGAGAAAAGAATACAAACGTAGCTTATAGTCATAAAAGCAAGACCGAGTACATCACTAAAGATTATAAAGCACTACTGTACTTATACGAAGAGAATGTAGTTTTTATTTTGGCGGCAAGGACGGCAAATTTTATTAGTCTACTTTAGGAAGAAAAACGTCCATGGTACGGCGCCAGCAGAAAGAGAGATCGGCATACTGATAAGGCCAACTCTTGTCTATGTCTCATCCTTGCCTATTAAATGGTCCGATTCATTCGGCCGATGTTATCGAAATCCTAATAATAACCCGACTTTCCTTCTCTCGCATTGGCCTAGTGCAGGACGCATTACATGATGCAGCTTGCTCGTTCGGACTTGATATTAAATTAGTTTGAACCTTATGAAAAACGTTTACAGCCCTTTTAGCATCGTTCCGCGTCGCCGCCATTCTCGGTCTGGATTACGACCATCGCGAGACACTCAGTAAAAATTGACTGTTCGGATACCACTCACGATTTTTGAAGATCCGTAGGAATTCCCACCGGCGTCGCTCCGACATTTCGACGGGGGGGGGGCATAAGGGGAACGACTTGCGTGCGTGTGTACGTAATAGTAATAATAATATGATTGATTCGTCCCCTATTGCTGCATTATATCCATTCGGCAGAGAAAGCATCTTCTGTTGAATTTCAGCCGTACATCGAGGGCGATATAATTTATCAACGGCCACCGACAGCTTTATACGTGCCCCATTAACTCTGGAACGACCTCAGACCGCGAACATACTGCCGCCGGTACGTTGTGTGCTCTCGTTTTGGAGATTCGGTTTGGGATAACGCGATTAATTATTTCGTCTCCCTAAAACGATCACGATACTTTTTTTCTCGTGAAACTTTGCCAAGCACGTACATTGTTTTATGATGTATGAGTATAATATTATTATGGCTTACAAGCAACCGTTATATTTCTGACACGAGTTGGATTCTAGGGAAATCTAAGTGAATCCTAAAGTGTGCACAACTCGGATTCATCACGAGCCCGCGTTATTCGTCCGTTCTGCATTGAAAATGCCTACTAAATTTTTATTTAACCAACTCATACATTTGAAATTCACGAAAACGTTTCACAAAGTTCTCGCCACTCGGAGAGAAAAATTAATTTTTATGCTTTTGTAAGTGTGTAATTCTGATTTTACCTTTTTCCGGTGCTTAACTTGAATTACAACATAAAAGGATGCGTGGGTTGTTGTGGAACCGTCACATTTTTTAATTAAATCCGGATTTACGATTAACAGCTACTCATATTTTTCACCCTCTTCTCAAGTTATTTTTAAACC